CAGTGCTTTCTTCTACTCTCTGTGTTAATGGGCTAATTAGCTCTTTAATCCTCCCCAGCCCATTCTAAACTGCTAATTAGGCAGGGTGGTGGTGGGGAATTAATTAGTGTTTAAGTGATCAGAATGCAGGCTCAAATATTGGTTCCCAGCACTCTGTCACAGGTGGAATCCATAAAAGAGCAAAGGAGAATAAGGAAAACAAAACAGGTTTGGGGTCACATGGGCAACTATACCTACGGAACATTTGCAAGCAAGTGAAATACAACCAGAGTAGGCCACTATCTACTATAAATCCCATCATCCTCGTGACATACTAATGTGACAAAGTTTTTCCATTTACACACTTTTCTTGTTCAAAGGAATGCATGATTTCCAGTTTCCCCTGCAGCCCCAGAAGCTACATGCGTTCTGAAATGAATTCTTTATATTATACCATCTGTCTCACTGTGGTCTGCAATATAAAGAAACAGCACAGAATGCTGTGAAAATCTTGTTAACAGCCCGCAACATTTTATTTTTGATTAGTGGCATGAATGAGGAAAATATATTTTGGTTTCCCTGCTAGACCTAGCGCTCAGCAGGAAAATTACATGCCTGAAGGATATGTTCAAATGTACGCCAAACTTTGTGATGTTTCCAGATTACTTAACTTCGCCACAGGAAATCGAAAGAAATATTTATATGCTACAATGTATTTTTGAACTGCAGTCCAGTGGGGTTTGCAAGTTTTCTGAGCTTCCAGCAGAAATAGTAGACTTGTTTGTGCTGAGTGGAAGATAACTGAAACCATATCACATTTTCAAAGACAAGTCCCACAACTTTCATGCTAATGACATTAAAAATATACTCGGTGATGAGCTTTTTCAGACATAATGAACCAACTGCACAGTTCATTAATTTGGGTGTGAGTGGTGAGTCTTATTTATTTATTCTTTTTAAAATCAGATAATGAATTGCGTGCTCATGAAAATGAAGACTAAGGGCCCAATCCTGCTATGGACTGAGCAAAGTCAATTCCTATTGAAGTCAATGGGAGAGGTGTGTGCTCAGCTCCTACCAATATTGAGTCCTAATGGTCCTGGCTTGAGCCAGGTGGTAGGCACCATGCCAGGTTTCTCCACACAGTTCTGCCAAGGCATCTCACCTCTGGCCCTCAAACTCTCTGGCTATTCCAACCCTGAACTGTGCCAAAATGCATGGTGGTTTTGTGATGTGCCCAAATGGAGATGAAGATGAGACCAAGAATGTTTTCACTGTGTCCTTTCCAACTTTTCAACAGTTTAATTGGACATGAATTGATACATTTACCCCAGGTTTATTTTTACTATTCTTTATGGCATTTGCTTTGACTTGGGACTTTCTGTTTAATTTTCATCATGCTTATTTCTCAATCAAAATATGACAAAACCATTGCTTCCTCCAGTAATATATTCTGTGTTGCAATGTGACATAATCCTATTTCTATATTTTAATATATACAGGAAACAAAAGCTTTTTGCTTCAGAGTCTATAACTTTTGAGGGGATGCTGAAGAAAAATTGCAATAGTGCATGGATACAAATGGATTCATATTATACAGGACCAGTATTATTCTTAAAAAGTAAAGATGGGCTGAGATCAATATCCCCCATCTAAACATCCCTGAATGTTGGTGAAGTTTGAATCCAGATCTGAAATTTGCAGTTATAGCCTCATCAGTATAATGGCTTTTATCTAAACACTTGGAAATGTTTGGCTCCATGCCTGAGCCACAGCTTTCTAGCTCTGATCCCATTCTGCTCAAAAGGTCCCCAGTGTTAGTACACATTGTAACTACAATGCTACATAGACATCATTGTTCTTTTGGTGCTTAGTTACCAATAAGGTCCAAAGTCCTGAAGTCCTTTCATGCATAAAACTCCTTCTAAAGTCAATGGGATTTTTGTATCTTCAAGAACTGCAAAGTTAGGTGAAACATACTACTCCACTGACAGAGTGCTCTATGGAAATCTCCTGGAAGGAGAGCTTTGTTCCTGTGGGTTTTGCCACATTATGAAGGAGTGGGTGTTGTGGCACCAGATGTGTAGCTCTGATTTGCTTTCGGCAGACATGTTTTTGGGAGCAGCACCCAAAAAGATAAAGACAAAGAGAAAATTGCCAGATATTTGTAACAGATTTCTAACTGTATTAGGTTTTTTCCAATCTTCTTTAACCTTTTTCTCCTGCATTAATGTCTCCAATGTTGTCATAAATCTCGTGGTCCCAAACCAGCAGAGCAGTAACTTTAGTTAGATGGGTTTGAGGTTGAAGGATCGAACCTTGAGTGAGCATGAAGGGAGCCATCCTGGGTTCCTTGCACATTCTAAACTCCCACTGATTTCAGAGGGTGTTTTGAGTGCAAAAGGAATGCAGGTTCAAGCTCCAAAAGTCTGTGTCCCCTTTCCGAGTCACAAAATCAATATGTCAGGAATCACTCAAGTGTGTTTCAGAACCAGGGTTAAAAAAGAATGATACTTAAATAATACTTTACAAACGTTAACTAATTAACTTGGAAGTACCATAGGTCCATAAGGGCTGTTATCCTCATGCTATGCATGGAGATACTGACACACCCACAGTTTGAGATTCACATTTTCAAAGGCCGTCTCTAATTTTTTGTGGTGCCTCAGCTACTGGATGCCCATCCTGAGACAGGTCGAAGTCACAAGCTGGCCACTCGAATACTGGGCACACACTTAGAGACAGCTTCTGAAAAATTCTCTTAGAGTGAGAACTAGGATTAAAAATCCAGAGCTGCTGGCTCCCAGCCCGTTGCTCACACTACTCACATCACTAATTCCCCTACAACCGCACTGTGCCCCCAGCATTTAAAATCAAGTCTACCTTTCGGTGTGATGGGAAAAAACAAACATGTTATGGTGCCTGGGTGTGGTGCTGTGTCAGCATGTAGATGTGGAAAGAGGGAAAAGGTCAATAAAACACAGTAAAAATAGAAATCATGGCTAGTGCTAGTGTTTCAGCCCCAGGGGCTCTTTCAGGATGAAATAGCAGTACTTTTGTTTTCTTTTTCTCATTTCCCCCCCCCTCCCCCACCAGCCTCAAGAAGGCTTGAGGGCTAAGGTGTCATCTGTAACCTTTTCCTCTCTCCATATTTTTCATGTCTGTCATACACTTTTTAAAAGATTACTTCAAGCCCTGCTCCATCCTGCCAAGGGATCTGTGCTAAGCATGCAAAAGGCATGGCCCGCAGCATGCTTGCTACACACGATTTTATCCCTGCAGCACAGGGATTCCTTGCTGCTTTGAGAGGTAACATTCCTTTGTGTCAATAGACACATCTTTCTTTGTTGTGTCTTGGGCCAGGCAGAGAGAGATTTTGCCTGATGAATTTGGACATGATGCTGCAGCACATACATCTTTTGGGTTCACTGTGCCCAGCTATCCAATACTGACCACCACTTGGTGAAATTAAATGACTAACAAAACTCCCAAGTAGTGACTTACACACTGCATATATTATACTATTGTATTATCTTTCACAGTTTGCCCTTGTCCTTTACTCTCACTCCACCTGTGCGCCATACTCTGCCATCTTTATTTGTGTTAAGTAAAATTTTACTTGGTGGGTAGTCCCATTGAATTCAATGCATTTTGCTGCAAGGGGACCGCTCATGAAATGAGGTACAATTCCATAAGAGTGAGGGCAGAAGAATCTGGTCCTCTCTTTAGTGCCATATCTCATAGTGGGCCAGAATCAGATGCTCTTGCTATGCTGAATTGCACCTTATTCTATGAAAGTGATGGGCTTACCCAAAGAGTAAATTATTACTTAACTGGATGGGGGGAGGGGGAAGAATTGAGCCCAGTGTTCTGCGTGAAGGCCAGACTGTGCACAGCCCTGAGTGCCTGCCCAGGAGTGGGGACAGGATGCAAGGATCCTCTTTCTCATCCTGCGCAGCACAGGGGCCAATCATAACTGCAGTCCTTGCTCTTAGGGAATGAAGGTAGCCCCCACAGTAACACCAGTCTCTCACACAAGGCGGAGAGGGGCCGACACCTCACCACACCAGCCACTGGTGGAGCTGCCACTTCTGTGGTGAGATGACCACACCCTCCCTGTCTAGAAAAGTGCAGCGGTGCCTATGCCCCAGACATACACAGGGCTCCCAGCAAACAGTCACTATCCCGATACCCCTGTGTGCTGAAAACCACAGCTGAGCTCTTAGAATGCTGGCTCTTTGGGGGCAGGGACCTGTTCGGTTTGTTTGTGAGAGTGCATTAGCGAGTGCAGTGCAAATACTGCAGGTCCCCAGGTTTTGAGCTGGTGTTATTGATGAAGGATAACATGCAGTACTTAAAGTATGTGTGTGTTTGGGGGGAGGGGAGGGTTACATGCAGTGCTTAAAGAGTGTGTGTGTGTTTGCGGGGGAGTGTAACATGCAGTGCTTAAAGTGAGTGTGTGTGTGTGTGTGTTTGCGCGGGGGGGGAACATGCAGTGCTTAAAGTGTGCGGGGGGGGGGGTCACAAGGGATCACAGACCCAGCAAAACATCACATGAAAACCCAGCCCAGGTCGCGGAGGGCTGCACTTTAAGCACTGGCTGACCAAAGCTGCTATTCCCAGCAGGTGACAGGCTTCCCCACACTTTGTTCACACCACTTTCAGCGGCACACGTGCTCCTGCATTTGTAAGTGGGCACTTGGGTTGCTTTTGCTGTTTCCCTCCTGTGGGTAGTAAACCTCACGGGAACTCAAACAGCATAAAATATCCTTCAATAATCAACTTTTGTCCCCCTTTCACTAGAGACGCTTCATGCAGACGGGCCATCCATCTTCGGGCTGTCTCTTAAAAGTGTCAAGCCGCCACCAGCATTAAAAAGATTCACAGAGCCGCTCTAATTAAGGCTTCAACCCCCCTTTTATTCTTGTGTGTGAAACTTCGGGAGAAAGGGGGTGGGGAGAGAAGCTGCCTAGTAACTCCAGTAGGAGGGTTGGTTGACACAGGAGACAGCAGACAAAAGAGGCGGAACTACGTGGCTTCAATTCAAAAGGAGAGCTCAGTCTTCTTGCAAAAGCATCAGTCCGTACGAGGGCCAGAGTGGGAGTAACTTCCATGCAGTGCAGGGCTCCCATCACAGAGAGCCCAGTTAGGAGCTCGCACCGTGGGGATGACACACGCACGCTGCTGCTGCTGCTGCTCAGCGAGCACGTTGTCATTTGCCAGCCACTGCCCATGGACAAGGCAGATCGGGCCACTGAGCGAGTAACTCCCGGGGGGTGGAGGGTGGGTATTTGCTTCCTTGCAATGGCTCCAGCGACAGATCCGAACAAGTGGGAGCGAAACTGATCTCCATGGAGCCCCCTCCTGCCTCTGGCTGCTGCACCGGCTGCTGTGTGTGAAGCCGCCCCTGCCAGGACGGACCATGCGGGGCATCCTTGGCTTCAAGAGGCTGAGGCTGAAGATCTGGAGGAGATGCACGCTCCTGTTCTTCCTCTGCTGGGCTGGCTGCTGGCTGCTGGGCAGCACGTTCCTCTTCCTTGTCCACAGGAGCGTCTTCTCCGAGCGCTGCACGGACGAGAAAAGCCACAGGATGCTGGCGAGGCTGGTATGTCCCCACGCGCTTGCAGAGTGAGGCTGGCATGGCAAGTACCAGGTCAGCACGCCACGCTCAGCGCCAGGGCCCTAGGAGGCCACTTTGCTCTCTGGTGCCCCTGCACACTGGGTGTGATCCCCCTCCCCCGATCCCCTTTAAGATCCCGTTTACATTTCTCTCTCTCATTCTGGTACAGTCGCTCTCCCCTGCACAGAACGGGCCATACTAACCAGGCGAACTAACCGTAGCCTCATTCCACCCACTGGTGAAAAATAGTCACTGGTGAAAAAGCGTCACTTTAAATAGGAGAAGCCGGGGGAGAATGGAGCCCACGGACGGTGCCTCAGTTCTTGCACTCAGGGGCTTAAAAAGGCAACGCGTAAAACGTCCCGAGTTTTTAATGACTGTTTTTTAAACTCATAGCATTTCCTTGGCATTATTATGTTTTAATGTCTTCATTTTCCTTGATGCAAAATATGGTCCAAGCATCGTTCTTTGCAATACAGAGTATTGGGAACCAATGACTGTCTGATGCAACAATACTAGATCTGTGAACGTGTTTATGGAAAAGGCGAGTACCTCTGGCTGATGGAGTAATCTTACAGTGAAGCTACACTGTGTATAAGGGAGAGAGCAAAGCAGCTGAAAAAGGGAATTGGGCTGAAAAGCTACCACTTGCAAAGGCTTTACAATGCTGACTGCATTTTACTCCTTCTACTCAGAAGGGTAATGTCAATTCAACAAGACAGAGCACTTAATTGCTTGGACTAAAATATTTCTAAAGCATCTTCTAATGGATTTTAAAAAATAGGGGAGTAAAGGTCTGGGAGTTAAAACATCTGCAGACCATATTCAGCTCTTCTTTGGTACTGGAAAACAGGGTAGTTTAATACTTTAGGTTAGCTGATCCAAGATTCTGCTGTTTGAGATATGTGCAACTATACTTCCGACAGGTTTCAGAGTAGCAGCCGTGTTAGTCTGTATCCGCAAAAATAAAAGGAGTACTTGTGGCACCTTAGAGACTAACAAATTTGAGCATAAGCTTTTGTGAGCTACAGCTCACTTCATCGGATGCATCCCTTCTGAAATATTTTAGAAGGGATCTTCAGCATTCCACATGCATTCAAATATAAGGTGATTTCTACAAGCTTTTTAGGCAGAGATCACATTCGATTCAGAAATCATCTTCAGGTTATGGTCCACCACATTTTTTTCCTGGTAGGGGATATTTAAAAATATTTATTAAAAAAAAAAAAGCAAGAAAGCATGTGAGACTATTCAGCCAAATGTGGTGATCTGAAATTCTGTAGAGAGAAAAGTGGAGCAGTGTGGGTTACAATTAAAAGCCTGGGTCTTTTTTTTTTAAAGGCTTGGGTTAAGTGGAAAAAAATCCAAATGGAAATTAAATAATCTATTTTAGTAGCAAGCAACTGATGATCATACATTTTCCTACGTTCTAGATAAGTAAGGAAGACTTGCCTTAATAATAATAATTAATAGCAGCCTTGCCAACTATTTTAAACGGCAACAGCTACATTCACATTTCCCTCTCAGGCCCTGAGCCCTGAGATTTCAGGGATGAGCCATTTGGACCCTTGTCTCCGCCAGTGTTTCGCCAGACACCAGAGTGGACTTAAGTAACCCTGTAGCAAAGAGGTGTCTGCAGTCCATTGGCTGAACTAGATGGGAGCATTTCCCCAGCTAAGACGTGAAAAAGGATCATCATTGTCCATAAGCAATGGCTCTAATTGAACCAAAAAGGAACAGCTTCCTGGTGGAGCCAGTAGGAACTGAGCTCATCTTCCGTTAGCTGGGAGTTGCTCTGTGTACATGTTCTAAGCACCACACTTGGTTTCACTGTTATAGGAAATGCAATCCAGCTACAGAACACCCGCCTTGTGAGCAGAGATCCTCCTTTCATGAAAACTTACTTTTCCAGGTTTCCATCCCATCCTTTTCCTGAAGCATGGGGCATGTTTGGTGATATGGAAAATATAATACGAGGACAGTGTTTTCAGTGGGCAACAAGATGAAAGTGACCTGTTGTAATCCAATGGGCGAGGATACTTGGTTACATTCCCTTCTATTTTGTAGTGGTGCTTTTTAGTTTCTCTCACAGGGTGAAATTCATACCTGTATAGAGGGCCAGCACAAGAAATGCACAACACTTCAGTAGGGTGTAGGTGGTGCATATCCTTTAAACATCACCTCAGAGTGTAGGACTTTTTATTACTACTGATCTCCCATTCATTACCTGCATCCTGACCTCCACCATTACCCTGATTAGTCTACATAACTTTCCAGTTGGTTTCTGTGCTCCTTGCAGGACAGTGGCTCTCAAAATTTTTTACTGGTGACCCCTTTTCACATAGCAAGTCTCTGAGTGTGACCCCCCCTTATAAATTAAAAACACTTTTTAATATATTTAACACCATTATAAATGCTGGAGGCAAAGCGGGGCTTGGGGTGGAGGTTGACAGCTCGCGACCCCCCCCATGTAATAACCTCGCAACCCCCAGTTTGAGAACCCCTGTTGTAGGACTTCTCTGATTTTTGAGTCTTCCATAAACTTGCTCACAGTAGAATTTACACCAAAGAAACACATGCCAGGAAAGACAGAAGGCTTCAGACCTGATCTACACACAAAGTTGCACTCATGTAAGTATGATTTTAAACCAATTTAGTTAAATTGGTGCAAAACCCTGTGTGGACTCTTTTACACTAATTTAAACCTGGCTTATTGGATTCGCTTGTACGAGTAACTTTGCAGGTGCTAGTTAAACTGATGTAACCAGTTTTAAAGAGATATAAATAAACCCAGTTCATAGAAGAGGTTGAACTTTTTAAACTAAAATAGTTTAAGTTACTAATTTAAGTTAAACAGCTGCAAATTCTGTATGTGGACAAGCCCTCTAAAATTGCAGAGAGGTACTTGGCATTTTTTGGTTTGTTTGAGATGGTTTTAGTTTAATTGTGCAAAAAAGCCTCTGGAAACCCTGATTCCTGGAGCTGATCTACAATTAGCAGGAAATGTCACTGCTTGAAGTCTGACACGTATTTCAGCACTGTGACATTAGCAGCTCCCCAGTCCACTAGTGACTTGTGGACCATGGTTTAAGAAACCCTGTGAAAGCTCAATAAAGAAGAATCAAATTGAAGAATGCATGACTGACAGATGTTAGGTTAATAGGCACAGATCAACCAATTCAGTTGGATAGAAAGAACAGACTTAAGAGCTATTCCTTGCCCATTACAGAATGGATTCATGTCCCATGTTTGGGGGTTGTAGATGTGGCTGTATATTTTGCATAGTCACTTTCTTATGAAATACCAGTAAGAATGATACAGCAAATACAACAGATACTGGAAAGCATACTATGTTTTTCCATGTTTCACTGCTGGTTTTCCAGGTGTGGGCTCTTCTAGACCTCCACTGGATCCATGCATGAGACTCTTGTGGATGCATGGAGCCCTGCTGAGTCAATGGGGCTCCAGGCAGGATGCATGGATTTGATTGCAGGACTGGGACCTATAGTTTCCTAATAGTAGCAGTGCACATGTTAGGCTGTGATCTTCTCATTCAGGAAGCAAAGCTCTTTAATCAGCTAATACTAAGGCTCCTTAAAAAAAAAAAAAAAGGACTTTGGTGTGTTACCTTCCTTCTAGGAGTTGTTTAAAGGTAAGGTCACAGATTGTAGGAATTATTAAACTACTCCAGCAGAGAAAAAGTAAGTTTCTTACTTGTAAGAGAGAATGACGACTTGTTATTAGATACCTCAAAAATGAGACCAAAATTTCAAAATTGCACATGTACTTCTGGAGTCACCAAAGTTAGGTGCACGTGGACTGCAATGTGTGTGTCCATCCTGATTTGCATGCACATACAGTATGGGAGGACACAAAATCAGGGCATACACATGCACACAGAGTTGGTGTACCTGGTTCTTCTTTCTGGCATCTATCAATGCAACATTCTCTTTAGGCTGTGAGAGCACAAGTGATACCTGTCATACCTGTCCTTCTAATGTCACAAGAATCACTGGCTACTATGTAGTACGATAACCAGTTCATCACCTCTTCATTCACCCCTTGCACCATTATTGGATTTAAGATTCCATCCTGCCCCTCATGCCCAAAGTCCCCAGTGGACAATGTTACCAGTTCACAGTTATTCCCCGTGCTAACTGGGGAATGTTTACACAAGAAAAACAAAATATCAATTTTAGTGAGTGTTTAAAAAAAGATATTTTTATATTTAACTTTCAACCTTGTCTAGCATCAGAGCATATTCCCTTGGTGCACACCTCAGATACTATTTTAAGAAAATAACAGCACTTGAATGTTATCGTCATGTTTCCTCTACACAGAACAAATAGTAAGAAGTTAGGCTGGGGTCAGGCAGTCTTTATAACTATTAAACAGTTGGAAGTGTCAACTTACTTGTTTAAACAAAAGTTCAAATGCCAGAAAGCAATGAGGGCAGCCAATGTTATCAAGCCACCTCCCAGCTGTTTGGCTTCCTTCATCAACACAAACTATTCTCCCTCCACCCCACATCTGGGATCATCTTGTCCACTGATCCACCCCAACTGTCTCTGTAGCTGCACTTCTGGAAGTTCTGAATGGACACAGAAGTATGTAAGCTACCTACATGTCTACAAGTGGAGGAATGGAAGCAATTATGGGGGGGAGATATTATTTTAGTTCTTTCATGCATTTGTAATGACCATACAACTATCAAGTAGCAATTTCCTTGGGTTTTTAAAATCCAGATTACCCAAAGTGCATTAAAATTAACTAAGGATATCTGATATGTACGTCCATACATTTTAAAGCATGTCAGTCTGCCAGACAGACCTTAACTGAAGAAGCCTTTCTGGCTTACAGAATGAATAATATATTTATATTTATATATTATAAAAAGCCTGCATATTCTGGGCTCCATAGATTGTATCTGCTGCAGTCATCTATATTATATTATTGGGGGAGTAACTCAGTCTACAAATAGTCCCATTGACTTTGATGGGATTTCACATGGAATAAGGTCTTCACATGAAATGTACAGTAAAAGAGACAGAGCAATATAATGGGCTGTAAAAGCCCCAGATCCAGCTGAAGGAGAATTCCCCCAGTGCAGGAACTGAGGATGGCAGCCACAGGCCATCTTCTGAGTAGTCCAGTCCCTCATGAGCCCTGAAGCAGAGGTTATTTGGGAATGTGGCTGGGCTGGGAGGGGCAGATTGGGGGTGGGGCAGAGGCACATAGTGCTGTGGAGATTCTGGGCAGTGCTGCCACCCATAAGGAGATGAGGACAGACTGCCATAACTCAGGCAGGGCTGTGTAAATTATCCTGGGGTGTCAACAAAGGTATCAAAATCTGACCCATAGACAATAGAGATGGCAAACACCTAGTGTAGGTCATCTGTGCTAGCCCTTTACCTGGCCAGAGGAAAAAAAACAGTCCCTCTACTGTCATAAGAATCACTTCTTTAAAGTGATCTCCACGCACGTTTAAAAAATCACAGCCTTACCTGAGAGTCTAAATATGATGTTTGTCACACTGTAACAGCGATGACCCTTTCTCCCTGAAATGCTCCTTGACTATATTCTTCTGCTGTGAACTGTTTTCTTCCTTTGCTCTAGTGTCTTGACTACAGAAAAGGAGCATTGACTGGTGACCTTTGTGAAGACTTGTGTGTGGCACAGAAGCTGGTGTACAAGCAATGCCTTTACTACGACAGAGGTAAGAAGGTCATCCGGGCGGACTGGAAAGGCCAGCCAGTCATCTTGAAATCCAAAAAGGAAATCTTCTCTAGCTACCAGAGCCTCAGATTGCTTGATGAAGTGGAAACACAGGATGTTCCTGAGACAGAACTTCTGCTGATGGTAGCTTTGGAGGTCAAAAATGTCCTGGGTCTGGAATTATCTAACAACACCATGGGACCCTTATGGACTAGGAGGAGAGGTCTGCATTGGAAAGCACAAGTGGCCAGCATGTGGTCCTTACTCCAGCAGGAAGAATATATCTACTTCAGTCTACTGCAGGACGTCAGCAAACATGTCCTACGGGTCATCGGCTCCTGTGGCCACTTCTATGCTGTGGAGCATCTCACAGCTGGACATGCCCGGCACAAAACTATTTTTCCCTTGGAGGATGCAGTTGGTCCCTCCTTCACTGGCACTAAAAGCAAGGTGAAGGCAATAACGGACATTGCACTCAGCTTCCTAGATATGGTGAATCATTTTGATAATGATTTCTCTCACCGGCTTCACCTGTGCGATATCAAACCAGAGAATTTTGCTATCCGAAATGATCTCACGGTAAGTTAGTACTTCGGTTGTGTACTCACAGTTTAAGATCCAGTTCTGAGCTGAAAAGAGCGTATGAAAAAAATGCCACCCCATGTCAGAGCTTCTTCCTGAGTGCATTGAGAATCTAGTCACTTATTTTAGTGCTAAAAAGCAACTTTTTTGTTACTTTTTCCTGCAAACCTCAAACTGGCAAAAAGAGAGAGTTGAGTTCTGTTCTTTTTTTGTGCATTATGAAAAGAACTGTTTACTTAATTGTAATTAGTTACACCTGTGCAACCCCACTGACGGCAACAGGATTCCTCAGGTGTTACTGTGGACACCACTTGAAGGCAGTGACTTTGCAGAGCTGTCACAGGGAACAGAATCAGTCCCAGAGAAACTACTGCTGGGGGTGATGCTCAGGAAGGCAAGAACTCAGTTTGAATTTCAAGAAAAGGCTTGAGTTTGCAGGACTGAGAGTTAGAGAAAAACATCCTTTGTGCTTTTGCCCTGAGCACATTAGATCTGGAAATAATTGAAAAGCAATAGATCTGGAACCGCATGACGCCATTCTTGCAGAGTCACCTTTCAACTTTTTAGCATAGAGCTGTTCTTTAAGATTGAAGGATTCTATATGTTTAGAATGTAGTGGTATTGTTAACCCCATTTCTGGACATATTTTGCATTCATTCTGCAGGCAGAAATTCAATTGATTTCAGTGGAAATTGTGTGCATACACTCAAGACACTGTATATACATAATGACAGGTTTCAGAGTAGCAGCCGTGTTAGCCTGTATTCGCAAAAAGAACAGGAGTACTTGTGGCACCTTAGAGACTAACAAATTTATTTGAGCATAAGCTTTCGTGAGCTACAACTCACTTCATCGGATGCATCCGATGCACAAGTACTCTTGTTCTTTTTGTATATACATAGTGTGTTCAAATCATGCATGCAGTTAGTGAGATCAATGGAATTTCTGCACTCATAATAAATGTAGAATACTTACAGAAATATGACTGCTAATATCAATACTTACCAAGCATCCATTTAACACTTACATCTTCAAACTGCTGTACAAATATTACCTAAGCCTATAGCTGTTGAAAGCAATTTGAGTGCTTTCCCCTCACCCTTCAATTAGCGTTTATTGTTTATTCAGGTGCCAAATGGGAGTTGAGTAGGGAATGGTTGGAGAATTTCAGAGAGAAGCTAAAAATATCTCATCATTTCAGCAGAGGAAGACACAACAGAGATTCCTCAGGATAGGTTTTGCCTACCATCTTTTCAGTCAGATGCAGCATGAATGCTACACAGTGCTATAATTGGACCTGACTGAGCATACATGGTCAGTTTTGATATCTGCTCAGGGGACAAGAGATTTCACCAAGGATGAGTGAAAGAATATTGAGAACTTTTAATTACAAGACCTTTTAGTGGGAGATGGTTCTCTCTGATTCATTCCTACCTTCTAGGTGTCCACAATGCCAGGACTCTCCCTCTGGATGAGGAGAGTTGGACATGGCTCTTTCTGGAGCCTGGCAATGTCAATCGGTATTGTTTAGTGGAATTATCTAAAAGGTAACATTGTAAGAAAGCGAGGGTAGCTTGATGCCACCTTTGCACTCCCTTTCTGAGCTATCCCAGGATTCAAGATCCGGCCCATTAAGTGAAGGGACTTGTCAATGTTTAAATTGTAAATCAGAAAAAGGTTTTGGGTCTGCACTTGTAAGTTTTTACTAATGAGATTATCTGTTACACAAGCGATCTCAACAAAACCAATGTCTTTTTTGTGAGAATAATGACAACTCCCAGGAGTAAGAGGTTGGATAAGCTAATCTTAGATATCCTTTTATGTTCTAATTATTCTCTGCATATTATAAGCAAATTTTGCTTATAGGTTAGACAAGCCCCTGTCAGAGATGGTCTAGATAATACTTAGTCCTGCCATGAGTGCAGGGGACTGGACTAAATGACCTCTCGAAGTCCCTTCTATTCCTATGAGTCTATGATTCATTTTTTATCTTGTCGTTTGTTGCATTTTACGATAGAATAAAAATAATATTAAAAAGAAGACTAGAAGAGCGCCCCTCCATCCCCATCCAACCTAAAACAAATGATGCTGCTAGTGTACAGAAAAACACATCTGGGGTAACACCGTCCTGCCTCTGGATTCATTTCCAAAATAACCAGCTAGATCCTCAGTGCTCACTCCCTCCTCCTTATGCTGCTCCTCCAATGCATAGTGGCTGGAAAGCTGCACTAATAGAGTAGCTAGGGAAATTCTCAGCTGGCACAGAGATGGTGAAGCCAACTCTTTGCCACCCCGTTGGTATAGTGGACATGTTGTGGGGGGATGGAAGGGGGAATGGAGCATGTTGCAGTCTGTGACAGGTTTCAATCGGTCCACCAAGCCCCTAGGGGCAATGGAGAGCTAGGGTCCCACGGGCAGGCCTTAGTCACACCTTTTGGGTGCTCGGGAATTAGCGGAAAAGGTGTGCCGGCACGAGTCCGCAGCGTGCCCCTCAAGCCCCGGGGCGCGCCGGCATGGGTTTGTAGTGTGCAATTCTGCTACCCAAGGCAGGTTGGCCGGGGTAGGGGAACGCAGGCCCACCCAACTCCACTGCGTTCCAGCCCAGGGCCCTGACAGTGGCAGGAGGCAAAGGTCCCGCTGCTGGGTCAGCAGGGGGCCATCCGCGCCCGCTGACCAAACACACCCACCCCACGGTGCAGTTCTGCCCCTGGGCTACTTCCTACCCGATCTCTCAAGCGGGCCTCTCCGGTCCCTCCAGCTCGTCCGGGTATTCCGCTGCTGGCAGCTCCAGCTCCCCCTCTGTGTCGGGCTCACACTGGCCCGGGCTAGAGCCTGGCCCCTCCAGGTCCTCAGCGGCTGGCAGTCCTGGTCGCCACAGGCCTTCCTCCCAGTCAGGTTCCTCATGGCCCAGGGCCTCCTCTGGGTCGGCAGCAGGGTCTGGAGGGAGCAGCCAGCAGCCTGTGTCTGTCTCCCTCCCTGGTGCTTCTCTCACTGGGCAAAGGGCCCCGCCCTTTGTACTTCCTGTCCCAGCCCTCCCCTTCCAGGGATTGGCGTAAGCTTGGTCTGGCCCCGCCCACTCAGGCTGAGAGGGTGGCTCTTTACCCTCTGGTTTGGAGGGAAGCCAACCTGGCTCCCTACATAGTCCCATGATGCTTGCCACCATACCAGCACCTGGGAGGCCACTACAAGCCAGCATAGGTTACAGCAGCTCTGAGGCAGCTTTAATTTATGCCAGGGTACAAACTAGCTCCTGACTGCCCTCAGGACCAGGAGGGCCATTGCCTTGGGTCCTACATCAAGCACAGTTTGGCCAGACATGAGGATCTGGTCCACTTCACATGTGAACAGCAATAACAACATTTTTCCAATAGAATTTAAGAGTGAAACTACAGCAGGGACAAGGCACTACCGACTCTAAGAAAGTCGACATATTTCTGATAGTTACCTGCATGAACTTGTAAAATTCCCCAGGGTACATCACTCTTATCAAGCTTTCCAAGAAACTTAAAGATACCTGGAGTTAAAAGGTGTGTTTACTTTCTTCAAGATCTGAGCTCCCCTCATGGGAAAAAAATTGCAAAAATTAGATCCTATCCTTGACTTTGTTTTGGAAAGTCCATTTGGCCTTTTGCCAGGTGCATACATCTGAAATTCCTGGGGTCATTCCAGCTGTCATTCAACCATACATTTCAGCTCTGCTGCTATTTGGGAGGCTTAGTTCTATAATTAAAGCTCTCCGCAGAGTAATTGCATATAGCTGTGCTTTGTCCATTTTCCAAACATTTCCATCTATACCAAATTACTTCATCTGAAACAGGTGGGCTTCTCTGAGTGAAGGTTTACATTGTTAGATATTAAGGTTGAATGTAACTCACAGCGTTCACAGCACTGAGGTGAGACTGTTCTCACTTCATTGACCGCACTGTACGTGCCATAGCAAGCAGCTGTCATCACATAGATGGCTTTCCTTCTCCCCTTCTTTATTTTTGTAATTTTTAAGTAAAAGGGGCTATATTGACAATCCTGGAAACTAAAATCTTCTACCCACTTGACAGTTATGAATCAAACACCTGCAGAAGCTGTGTGGTCCTTTTTGCATTTCCCATCCAATATTTCTTAAGCCTGAACTGGAGCAACAAACCTGCATAGCAGTGGTTCTCATCCAGGGGTCCGGGGGGGCCACGAGCAGGTTTCAGGGGGGGCCACCAAGCAGGACTGGCATTAGACTTGATGGGCCCAGGACAGAAAGCTGAAGCCCCACTGCAAGGGGCTGAAGCCCGGGGCCCCGAGCCCTGCCACCCGGGGCTGAAGCTGAATCCTGAGTAACTTAGCTTTGCGGGGGCCCTGTTGCATGGGGCACTGGGCAATTGCCATGCTTGCTACCCCAAATGCTGACTCTGGCTTTTATATACAGAAAAACAGTTGTTCTGGAACAGGTGGGCCTTGGAGATTTTAAAGCATATTCGGAGCAGGGTTGTGGGGGTGGGTAGGCAGGTCCTCAGAAAGAAAAAGATTGAGTCAGATGATAGCTTAATCTTCACATCCATTTAGTCCTTATTCTCTCTGCTGACCATCAACCAGCTGTGAAATACTGATAGATATATTTCTAGATAAGCAGAGGGAGAACCATGAATGTCACTTGATTACATGAATGCCTGTTGAAGGAGCAGACATCCCCTGTATATCACAGAGCTCCCCTCTGCAAATAGCACATAGAGCTTGGAGTGACACTGGTTATCATTACTGCAACTACTGTTAGTTAAGTGAAGTTGGGCCCACTGTTAGTTAAGTGAAGTCGGGAGCTGCTTCCAGCCACAGGGGAGGCCGGGGGGAGAAGGGATGACCTGGCCCGTGTCTTTGCAGAGCTCATCTCTTCTCCCACTCTCATGTGGCTGGAAGCAGCTTGTCCCTTCCTACCTGCACAGTGTTGAAAAGCAGCTAACACCTCCAGGCTGCTGCTGGCCACTGACATAACCCAGTCACCTCCTGTCCCCAGGCTACAGCATGGGCAGGAAGGGGTTAAGCACTCAGGATGCATTGTGCACCAGGGCCCAGGGAACCTGACTGCAGGGGCTTCAGTGAACCATGAGAGATGTGGCTCAGCAGGGGAGGGTGCCTAGGGGACAGAGCAGCCCCACATACCCTGGGGGCAGGATGCAGGTCGGGATGTGTGTGCCCCAGGGGCTGCTGTGGAGCCTCCAGTTTCTGGGTGTGAACAGGCTGGAAATCACTCCCCCCCCACTACTCCAGAGCTTAGCTGAGGGGCATAAAGGCTTCCCCGTGCCAACGCTGTGCAGGGCTTTGGCATAGGCAGGGCTTGGGTCCTCCTGGCCAGCGCTCTGGGCCAGAGGGTCTTTGGCTTTCCTGGGGTGCCAGACCAGCCAGAGGCTGTGGGGGAAGGAAGGAGCCTGCCGACCAGGCTGTTGGTGATTTGAATGCTCTGAGTAGGGACTGGTTCTCCGCGCAGTACTGGGAGCAGGACGTGCCCTTCCTGAGGAGGGCGGGAGGGAGCATATGGAGTAGCAGCGGGGTTGGAGGGGATTTTGAAGGGACAAAGCAGGGAGAGAACTGCGAGAGGGGGAGCATGTAAAGGGCCGATGGGTGGGCAGCAGAGACGACACATAATCGGCTGCCATCTGGCGCCTGCCCACATTCACCAGCCACTGCAGCTTGCTGCCTAGCTGCGTGCAGCCAATGCTGGCCGGAAATGGGATGGGGCCCTGCTGGCCAAGAGCTGGGATGCAGCGGGGACTGTGCTGACAGACTAGTGGGGGAGTGGCTGACTTGTGCACTGCATTTTCACCCCTCCACCAGCCTTGCACACCCATCTCCATCATCGGCAACTGGACCCTCCCACTCACCGCTGGTGGATGGGCGGCTGGCGAGAAGGGATCCAGCCAGAAGCAGGAGTGGACCCACCAGTACTGATGGTGGCGGGGAGGAGACAGAAAATATGGGACAATTTGCCCATTTTTAAGAAAAAGTCGGGACACTTGCAGGAGGGTTTAAATACAGGACTGTCCCTTTAAAAATGGGACATCTGGTCACCCTATCCTGAAAGTTACATCCTTCAGTGCATGTGTCACTTTTGATGTGTTTGTTTGATCACAGGTGGTTGCCATTGATGTGGATATGGCCTTTTTTGAACCTAAAATGAGGGATATCCTTGAACAGAATTGCACAGGAGATGAAGACTGTAATTTTTTCGATTGCTTTTCAAAGTGTGACCTGAGAATCAAAAAGTGTGGGGCAGAGAGGGCCAACAACAACCTGCAAGTGAGTAGCTAGAGATTTATTATGTGTACATTTTCTTTTTAAAAAGACCAGTCAGAGGCAGCTAAAGAATAAAACATATGGCATGAACTAGAGCTGGGTGAGGTCTAGACAAGTATGTTTGATGTACATTCATCAAACCCAGTTTTCAAAAATGGCTACCTAAATTACATGTGTAAATTCATCTCTTGCATGCAAGCTGGCCCTAACATTCATCGATCCCTTTCTGCATGTGTAATGTCTATCTGCATGTAAAAATATGTGGGATTTATGAGCCCAGTTATCTACAGATCTAAGCTTTGCTCCGATCTAGTTGGGAGAGGGAGGCCACAGGGCTCCAGCTTCTTGATTCAAGGGCAGCTGGCCCTGGAGCAAGGCATCCTGCTCTAACTTACCCTGCTGACAATGCCAGCAGAGGATCAGGGTAGCAGAGCTCAGCTGTGCTACATTCCTCCTGCCTGCTTTTCCCTTGTTGTGCTTGGGATGCAGAAGTGGTGAAGTAACAGGGGGAATTCTTCACTGGGAACTCTGGTTTGTTCAGGCCACTGCTGTACACAACAGAACAAAGCAGCCTTGGAGAATCTGGGCCTTGGTCTCCACTTTAGGCAGTCTTTTCTGAAAACTGGGCTGACTGTGAGCAGAGAAAAATTATTTATCTTCACAGTTTGTTTTGAAAGATAAGAGGAAGTATGATGGGAGCTACAGCATGTAGTGGTCTTGTACATTGTCAGTGCCCGATCTCTAATAATAACAGAGGCAAAACGGTAATACAAGACACCAATAAAGGCAGTCCCTGAACTGTGGAGTTTAGCAATCCCTGTTCAGTTTGCTATTAGGTCACAAGTGAAATGAGTTAGGTGTCCTCCACCTGATACTTAGTGAGCATTTGCCCATATCTTACATCACAAGTCTACCAAATACAGCTCAGCTACACAGGGAGGCCCATGCTGGTAATGGATAGGTATGGTCAAGGAGGGTTGAGTAGAATGGCCAGGGACAGCTTGTAGAGTGCCTCATGCACTATGCTTTGCTCTTATCAGTGTTAGAGGCATTTTGGACTCAATAGTGGAAGCAATAGCTTGTACAGTTTACAGTTACCAAGGGGCAGAATTGTCTTATTTGCAGCTCCAGAAAGTCAATCTGCTCTTTTACCTTTTCACAGGTCATCTGTGACAAAATATTCCGTCACTGGTTTTCTCCAAATCTCAGGGGACCCACAATTTCCTTCCCTCTGCAGTTGCAATTGCAAAAGGCTGTTCATGAATGTGCCAAACCAGGGCCCAAGGACTTGACACAACACCAGCAAACATCTCTGCATTCTCTGTCTGAGTTATACCATTTGCTGCAAGCCAGTCAAAGAGAACTTCAAAAAGCAACCTTGTGAAACTCACTGGTAACAATGATATATAATAATCATCATTGCCAGCAGTCTCTGTCTCTCTCCCACACACACCCATCCATTGTATTAATTTTTACAGTGTATAGATTTTTTTTTACTATGAAAATGAAACTCATGATTGAAGATGCAGTGAATGTTATTAATTTGAAGTGTGAAATTGTTTTACATTATATGGACATTATTCTTGCTTGGTTTTTTGAAGTCACATTGGCTCTCCACAGTGACATTCTGTCATTGGTTGCCCATAGAGTTGTGGTCTCCTGCTAAAATAGCATCCAGCTGAGAGCTGATCCCAGGGTGATGAGATATTTATCTGTGGATAGTGCTTAGAAAATGAAAAGTGTAAATGCTTAGCAGAACTAATATTAATTTAAAAGAGAGGCATGAGGTGTCCTTATATTTCACCAGAGAGTGAGGGACTGGTAGGCAGGGTTCAGGACAGACTACTCTGCACAAACAGCTTCTGCCAGTAGGGAACTGCATAGACACATGGCTGATTTTGTATCGACTTCTCCTTCTGCTGCTCTCAAAGGCATTGCCTTTCTTTATCTTTTGCAACTGGAGCCCTAGCCGACACTGCTGAAAGAAAATACATCAAGTTGCTTAGGGATTGTCTAAACAGAGAAATTTACCAGCATAATCACAGTGGTAAAATTATACTGCTATAGTTATACTGGTATAACTCCTCATGTGAACCCTCTTATTCCTTTTCTGGTTTAGTTTATCTCGCTTTGAGAGAGGTAGATGGGACACTTTAGCAGGCCGCAGTATAGCATATCACTTCCTTTCCTTCACCATCATGGAAGGGATTGTGGAAAAGAGTAGGGAATACTGACCGCTTTTATTTAGTACATGCAACATTTTTTTGGCTTTATGGTGATATTTTAGTAACAAAAGGAATTTTGCATGAGAAGTCGTGATCCGCAGTCAGTGGGACCAGTTACATGAACAGAGATTGCAGGATTAGGACTTTAAAGCTGATTTCCAAAGTTCTCTAGCTGTGGAGAGTCTAGCAGACAAGTTTAGAAGCTGTCTCAGTTGTGTACTGGTACTATGCCCGTCTGCCATTGCTGGCAGATTATGGGACTGCATAAATGAGGCAGAGACCCGAAAAAACAAACATTTCACAATTTTTACTAAAAGATCATCAGATGGGACTCTCCAGTTTGGAATTTGGTAGTGCTGGGTTGGGGGGCATATAATCACATTTGCAGCTTATCTATATGAACATTCTGAGGGCTGTTTCCACTGAAAAGTTAAAGCAGCCCTCCTGAGAGATGTCGTTAAGCCAACCTAACCCCCAGGAAGAATTCTTTTGTCAACGTAGTTACTGCCTCATGGGGGGGGGTGGTGGATTATTGACAGTGATGGGAGAACCCCTCCCATCGCTCTTATGTCTACAATGAAGCATTACAATGGTGCAGCAGCTGCGCAGCTGCAGTGTGTTAAGTGTAGACATACCCTTAAATCACAGCAGGCTAATGTGGGATAGATTTACAGCCCAGTATTTTGCCACTTTGAAACTGCTTTACAGACTTAGTCTTCACAACAGCCCTAAAGCTTGGCAGAAGTACTATTTTATTCACAGGCCTTGTCTAGCTTGGAAATGGGCGTTCTCTTTAAAGAGGGTTAGCTCATGTGATTTTAAACACCTCTTAGCACCTAAAAACGCATTAGCTGGCTAGGAGAAGTCTAGGATTCCTCATGACTAGCTAACATGTTCATAAGGATATTAAATCATGGTGCTAAATCATGTAAGCCCTAAGTAGTGTTTCAAATTATGTTAGGTTTTACACCAGCGAGAATGAGGTTAAAGAACTTACCCAGGGCAAGGCCAGGGAACTGAGTCAAGATTAGAACTCAGAAATCCTTGGATGGTAAATCTTTGCTTAATCCACACTTTTTTCTAAGAAATCAGAGAGACATTTAAAAAAAAAATAATCCTCAGCTAAAGTAGAAAACGTACCAAAAAGCCCAGGCCCTGTCAGAAAGCTGAGGTCACCCATGATGTCATTAGAAAATGTAATGAAACTGGTTGAGGAGAAACAAAATCAAACAGGATGGAATCTGCAATCACTGAACTGAATCAAAGAGAGACGCCTGCAAGACAAATGTATTAAAGATTGTGAGGTGGTCAGATCCTATGTAAAGGGGGCCAGACTAGTACCATAAATAGAAAGAAGGTGGGAAAAGGGACAAAGGAAAAGTCAGGGAAAAATAGGTTAAAAAACTAATACAGCTCAGCTTCTGGTTGGCTCCGTGTATAATGCTCTGTCCTCTTGAAATTGGCCAAGGTAAGGTGCCTTATTTCTAAGAGATGGGGATGGGGGCAGAAAACTCTGTTAGCTCAAATGGCACAGGGCTGTGGGGCCTTTTGGACTAGGATAGAGAGCTCTGTTATCCATGGTGTATGTGTGCAGTAGAGATCTTTGCCCTGATCCAACTATGGGAGGTGGATCAGGCCCCATAAGTAGCCACAGATTTGTTACACTTCCCACCAACAAAACTGCCGCTATTTCACAGCAAGAGGCAATGATGAACCTAGAAAGATCAGTAGCAGCTTATTGTGCACACCCCCAACACTGCAGAGAGCCTAACCAGAGACCTCCATGGCAGACTGGTTTCCCCATTATCATCATTTCCTTCTCTCTTTCTGAATCCAGAAAATACAATAGAGGAGGAACAACAACAAAATCAATTTTTGCCATTTTGTGGCAATATTTCACTCCACCGTTTACCATTGTGGGTTCCCTTTCATAGCTTCAGGTTTGCATTTTGTACAGTGGAGCGAAACAAGTGTTGACATGAAGAAAAGGAGTACTTGTGGCACCTTAGAGACTAACCAATTTATTTGAGCATGAGCTTTCGTGAGCTACAGCTCACTTCATCAGATGTATACCGTGTATATCCACGGTATCCACGGTATACATCTGATGAAGTGAGCTGTAGCTCACGAAAGCTCATGCTCAAATAAATTGGTTAGTCTCTAAGGTGCCACAAGTACTCCTTTTCTTTTTGCGAATACAGACTAACACGGCTGTTCCTCTGAAAAGTGTTGACATGGTTATTTGAATCTTAAAACGAAACACGGTAACAAGATCTTAGAATAAACCTTACTTGGTTCCCCAGGAGACTGTCTGATAGGGTTTAATAAGTGAAATCACGTATGAAAATTTTCTCTGACCCCCTGAGGGCTGAGCTGTAGGTCACCTTCACCTGACATGAACCTCAGTTTAACTCATTACATTCTTCCGCAGCTCATTAGGTTTTGTTTAGTCTTTTCAGGTTACAAAGAACAATCCTCATGAACAATCAATACCTCAGAAAATATTGAGTAGCAAAGCAAATGGATGATTTGCACTTGGCAGGGCTTTTAGGTTACCTCCAACTGGATTTTAGTAAACCTTCATTTGCAATTGGCAAGTCTAGGAGAACTTAACAGATTGTAAGAACACAATGGGCCTGATTCTCCATTGTCCTGCACCTTGTGAAGTCATTTAAATCTGTGTAAAGTGAGAAACCATGCTTCCACTCACATGAATGGACAGTACAGATTACATGGTGTTTTACACTTGCTTTGCACCAGAGCAAATGACTAAAGATGCAAGGCAGTGGAAAAACCAGGCCGTGTGTCTCCACAGGACAGGGGTAGGGGAGGGAAATAGGCCTTCTCATTGTTTGTACCTTGTGTAGACACTTACAATTGTGCAAAGTGAATGCAAAATGCAGCCAAATCAAATAGGAGCATTTTACACCCACTTTTCATAGGTGTAAATAGCTATGCAAGTTGAAAGACAATGAAGAGTCAAGCCCAACTGGGGATATTCAGTCTTGAGGACAGACTGAAGGGCACCAGAAAATCTTCAAATATGTTAAGTGCTGTGCCAAAGAGGATGAGGATCAATTGTTCTCCATAGCCACTAAAGGTAGGATGAGAAGTAAACAGCTTAATCTACAGCAAGGGAAATTTAGGTTATAGATTATGAAAAACTTTCTAACTAGAAGGACAGTTAAGTGCTGGAATACCGTGAGAGGTTGTGGAATCCCCATCATTGCAGATTTTAAAGAACAGGTTAGGCAAACATCTGTCAGGGATGGCAGCGTGGGGGTATGGACTAGATCAGTGGTTCTCAAAGCCGGTCCGCCACTTATTCAGGGAAAGCCCTGGCAGGCCTGGCCAGTTTGTTTACCTGCCGCGTCTGCAGGTTCGGCCGATCGAGGCTCCCACTGGCTGCAGTTTGCCGCTCCAGGCCAATGGGGGCTGCGGGAAGGGCGGCCAGCACGTCCCTCGGCCCGCGCTGCTTTCTGGATATCTATAAAGCTACAATGCTTTTATTTTCCTTAGTGTGGTTAATAAACATAGTTAAAATGTGATTTATAATGGCTACAAGAACATAAAATATTGAATATAAATAATGACAAATGAACAGCAATAATGAAATATACTCAGCCCAATTCAGCTCTTTTACATCTGTGAAAACCCACTTGTGTCAGGGTTTTCAGAGATGTAAAATAGCAGACTTTGAGCCAATAAATGTCATTATCAAAACACTCTCAAAATATCAGTTGAATTGTATTAAATTAGGTCAATGTAATATCACTGAATAGGCTTTACATATTGCAAGTAAACTGTGTATATGTCCATTGCCCTTAAAACTAAAGAAATGAAGCCAAGGTTCAGATCGTATAGTGATAAGCACTATAGAAATACCTATAAAATAGAATTTGCATAAAAGACACTGGGGCATATCCTCAGGCTCACTTCATCCTATTTGTACGCTCTTTCCTTTGTATAAATGTGTATTAAGTCACGTGTGACACGTGGGAGAAAATCCAGTGTTTAGACTCGATTTTGATCTCACTCTACACTGGTGTAGCTACTCTTTGACTTTATTTACTCCTGATTACGTCAGTGTGAGAGCAGTGTGACAACAGGATCAAGTTCCATATACTTAAGAGAAAAAGGTAAGAGTTATGTGGATAACCATCTCATTTAAATTACATGGCATGTTACAGGCCAGATTGTCCTTTTCTTTCAGCTCACAGCCTTATGCAAGAAGCAGCACATAGCTGCGCTACCCCAAAAGGAGTCCAAGTAAGGCAGTATGCCACAACTAGCCTGTTGCTACTACCAGGAATCAGCATTTGCAGCATAGCCAGTCTGGAAGCAGAGCCAGTCCCTAGGCT